GATGCAATTAACTGTATCCATCTTGGAAATGAAAAGTCTAGAAGATACAGTTACAGAATGTTACCATTTCTCCCTAAGTTAAATTTATAAAGTATATACGAAAAAAAACAAAAAAAAAAATATGAAGGAAATCCAAGGAATGAGGAAATTGTTCTTCAATGGCAATTTTTTTCCCAATATAAAGTATAGTAGCTGCATGGCATTGCTACTAGCATTTGACAGTAGGATTCATTTTACATATACACATTAAAACAAAAATAGAAGTTGAGAGGATATCTATGAGTACTATGAATTTTTTGGTTCACAAAGAATTAGAGTTCCATATGTCAGTTAAAGATGTTTTCTTTTGAAATGATAAAAATAGACATACATTTAACCAAATATTCATATTTTAGCGGCTTTGACATAGACTTTGATGCGCTAATTCATAAATACTGCGAAGAAATCATGTATAAATTCAATATACAGTGCTAAAGAGTGTAGCCCTACTCGTACTTCATGAATATGCCAACTAAATTTGCAGTGATAGTGCTAAATTTTGAATGTGTTGATTTATGTACACATACAGTACTTCAAAGCATCATTTTGCTACAGAATTTATCATTTCCAGGATATTTTCTGTGAATAAAGGTACATTTTGTATACCATTAATTTTCCAGATTTTACACAGTGGATTGATAACTTGGATATGGCACTTAAAACAGAGGACTGATTTGAAATATTGAATGCAGACATAAAAACAAACAATAAATTACTCACAATAAAAACCCTCATAAATAATTGCCTTTCCAATCACAACATTTATAGACAAAATTTTCAGATTTACAAAATTTACAATTTTTTCTCTTAAACATGTTAAATGTGAAGTTGTTAACAGCCTTTTATATGTATGATACATTATACAATTTGTCTTTGTAAAAAAACTTCATCAGTACAAGAAGACCAAAAACTCATTAATTAACAGATACTTCAGGTCTAAGCCAAAAGATTCGGATCAGCAAAAAATAATGCAGGTAACTATAATGCTCATTAATTCAACATTTGTTTGCATTCTGTCATATTCTCTAGTAAAGGCAGTCAAAAGAAAGCTCCTTTAATCCATAAATAAAGGTTTTTACACATCTACATTTTCTTCTTCTCTTTGCGATGTAAACTTATTTGTTCGTTTTCCAAACAAATTTCAGCTACTTCATATTAAATATCAATGCAACATATTTTTAACAGCAACTGACTTATCTAACTATATAGCTGTACATACAAATACTCAGTTAATGTATAAAAATCAGTATAATTTCTATTTCTAGCATCTTCATGGACTTGTGTTTCACATTTATATGCATCCCTCAAGGTCAACAGTCTTCAAACATTTAATCATAAATCCTGAATCATTTGGAAAATATCAACAATAAAAACAACACCTATTACTCCACACTTTTCTTTTCCAACAAGACACAACACTCATCAACAGTCATTCTTCCATAAAAATAATAAGCACATGGATTTCATACCGTTTGTAGAATCAGAAATGTGGCCCCTCATGTAGAATAACAAGAGAATTCACCCCCCCCCTTCCTAGGCTTAAAGAATTGCAACATTTCAAACATTCATATAATGCACATATTTGATAATGCATTTTTCCTCTGTTCCAAATGCAGCAAGATGGGGGCATGAAGAACTTGGCCTAGCACATGATGGCTTGGTCCCTGTAACACAGTCCTTATTCAAGTCCTTTGTGTCATAAACGCCCCCAGGGCCAGTACTCCTACTGCACCTATTACTCCGTACTTAACCCAGGGGGTGTCTTCATTCGTAGATCTGTCTCTCTTGGAATAGAAATCCACAAAACCTTGCTGTAAAAGATAAAAAGAAAAAATTTAATTTTACTTCATTTTCAAAAATTTATAAATCTTCATTTTATTTTTCATACACCAGACCTTTGAGTTTTAAAAACCTATCACCCTATTCAGAACTAGACACTGGCAGTATCTAATTTTTACAGATTTTTTTAAATTAAAAAGATTCTTTAATTTTTTAAACAATTGTTAAATATCCGTAATCACATTCATCCACAGTCATATTTTAAAGAAGGGTCAGTTTATAAGCAAGATTTCATGCAGTTCCCCGAGACCAGCACTATTGCCTGAGGCAAAGCCGAGGGAAATAGTCCTAGCCTTGGGGGACTTTAATCTTACTAATCTCGGAATGATAAACTTTTTACTATTTTATCAAATCAATACAAAAGGAATATTGAGAGGATTTCTGATAACTGTGAGTTTTTGAAGCAGGGATTAACTCACTTATTAATTACATTTGGCAAAACAAGGACCAATCCACCCTCAGCAATCTCTATGGAATTTATGTAATTTAAAATTTACTTTAAGAAAAATTTGTGACATATAAACATGATAAAAGTACAAACTATCCTTTATAGTTCTGTTAATGTTACAAGCTAGGAAATACAAACATTGCCTCAAGACTGAAATATCTCAATACATAGGAGTGTATATCAGTATATAGCCTTAGTATATTAGAATTGTGTACACTTTAATAGAGGAAAAATGTCTGCAGAAATACTGTTTAACTGGACTAAGGCAGAGCCTTGTTTTCTGGAAACTATGAAATCTATGTTTATACACAAACAATTCTCCAATCAACTTTTCAACTGAAAGGCTTCAAAAACTAGAAGATACAAATCTCAAAACCAGCTTCTTCAATTAAAGCAATAGGGAATATCCTGGATATTTTAAAAGTTAAAAAGGAAGTTAGATAGGCCGAGGGCTCAAATATCATATATATTAACTGTACTTCAAGCATTTTGTGATATTCATTGTTTGGATTTAAATACACAATACACTAATGTATGGAACTAAATGAGAAACTTATATTGATAGGTCTGTACAATCCAGTTCAACAAACAGAAAATGAATAAACAGTGCACAAAAAATATTACTTTTCAAGATGTGGGAGGCAGATGTTTCCTTGAAAAACAGATGGTGGGGATAAGAAGAGAGAAACATTTGGCAAACTCCTGGTGTTGTTTCGTTAAGCTGACTAAACTCATTAGGAAGATGTAGCCTGAAGAAGCAGGGAAGCCTATTTGCAACACAGACACTTGTTAGCTTGGAACATTGTGTTTATCATCCTAGGTTTGTCAGTCAAGGCCAGTTACTGCCAGGAGCTCCTCTAATTTATAATTATTACGTGTCTGTGATCACTTCAGCTAAGTTGTAAGCATGTTACAAACAGATTAAAGATTATACTGTCACTGAGTGCAATGTGCAGTTTCATCACCACTTGAAAGAAGTAAAATATATATTTGATAATTCATCTTTATGACAACAGTAGAAACCCTTGACCTTGAAAGGAATTCAGGCAGTAATTTAGTCAGGAAGCCTGTTCTTCATCAGTGAGCAAATGAAAAATGCATTATATTTATGACCTTTGCTATCATCAGCCCTTCATTTATCATCCCCATCACTTAGCTAGATAAATCAGCCCTAAGTAATGACCAGTCCATCATAAAGACTGCTTCCAGAAATATATCTGATGAAATAAGTCAAGGATCAGGGAGAATGAAAGCTTAAAAACAGCTTTATGGACCGAGGCCAAGTGGGAGGCTGAATATCTTACATGTTCTTATGCAGTGAACTGTCAATGTACAGCACTGGGCAAGGTTCATAAATCAAAAAAAAAAAATACTGTATATTTATGAATAAGACCTTGTGATAGGTCTATAAATGTACTGTGTAATGCTCGGTACTAAACAAGGTTCACTATGCACTGAACTGCTCTATATTGATGAATAAGAACTTGTAATCTATATATGTACTGTATGAGGTGCAATTTGTGGACATAAACAACTGTTGCCCTTAGGGTGTACTATGATTTACTTAGTTAATCAATTACTGCTTAATTTGTAGCCCCTGATTATGAATTTACATTTAAATAGTGTCCAAGGACTTCCTTTGATGTATCATAAACTGCTCTTATATTACTAAATATTTTTTTAAAATTGTGAAATAAATTGCTCCATAACCACGATTATCTAGAAAAGAGCCACAAAACTGTTGCTTTATATGTAAGTGACTTGGATTATACATATTGTAAGCAATATATATGATTACATATATGTGAATTTCTGGGGAAGAATTATCTACAACTAAGCATATTCCATCATAAACTATTATTTATCAAAGATACTGAATAACAACTTTACAACACACCCGACAGAAACAATATTTCGATCAAGAAACACCTGGTCACCAACCCCTAACATCCCTAATCCATCTACAACTGATTAAAATTTACAATACAGAAATCCAGATTTCATTCATGCAGATTTGATCAAGCAGTAATACCACACACACACATTCATATCTCTGTGTGCCAAATTTTCTGATATCTTCAATTAGATTTCCAGGTCCGTAATCTTTACATTCAATTAAAATCACAATCCTGAACTAATTACTTAAAGGTAGATTCTGTACCTACACTGGCTGTGGACCAACATTGATAGTTCATAGACAGCCAAGGTAAACTAGGGTACAGATGTGCAATGGCTGATGGCATTTCATGGTCATTCAGTCATTCACAGATCCTTCATGAACAATACAGATTTTTCACAGATTAAATTTTTATTTTATGATCACTAAGGTTTGGGGATTCAAGATCAGCTCTGGTATTTTTAACAACTGTTGCCAGATTTTGTATAGCACTGTAGACATTTTGTGATTGTCACAGATAGAACATAAAATATGGGTTTATAAGAACTGTAGAAGACAGGGTTTAACTGTAACTGGTAAAATTTGGAAGAGACGTTCTAAGAAACCGAAATGCCAGTACATAATTCATAGGATTCAGTGATCTCGGTGAGATTCATAGAGACTAAAAATTATGGTCTGGTTAGTAGAGATATCATAACAAAAATTGTAATCTCTACAAATCTCGCTGACTGGTTTAGGATTTAGATTCATGACAATTTACAGAAAACTGAATGCCATTGTTTTCATGGGATTCATGTTTGTCTACTCTTGCATTACTAATAGAGCTGCCAATTTCAGAATGTATTTATAGACATTCTCTAGATAGAAGGCAAAGCAAAAAAATACACAGTCATGTAATACAGATGTTTTGAAGAACAATCATCAACGTAATGAAATATCTTTAGAAAACAGTCACCTTCCTCCTTTATTTTTTAGGAAGAAAAAAAGTTAAGGAGCATTTCCAGTGAACTGAGTGATCAAATTCATTGATACTGCAGTCCAGGTCATATTATGATTATATCAATTCATTTACTTCAGCTTCATCATATAACTTATAAGGATGTACTTATGTGTGAAATGTCTTAATTCAAGTAATCACTCCTGATGTTTGATCATTTCCTTCTTTTTAAGTGTAAAATAAATTACAGAAAATATATCATTCAAAATTTTAAAGATAAAAGCAATATGATTTTTTCCTTGTAACATACTATCAAATTATGAGTGCATATTGGTTTAACTGCAATGAAATTGGCCTAGCTGTTGGCAAAGTGCAAGCAATATATCACACTCTTTTCATATATACATGCATTACAATATTCATAACATCTAAAGTGTGGGTTTTTATTAATTAATATTTATTTAAAAAACAAATTTTAAAGAGCTTCATATAACTGGAATCCCAAATTCCCCTAATCAAGTTAAATTTTTTGGGATTTCCTATCTTATAAGAGTAATTGGGTCAAGTAGAAAGTACCATTCAGCTATAGATACAAGCTTCAACATCCGATTTTAAAGATGATTTTGATAATATCTTGTAAGTAGAGTTTTCTTCACACTGGTTCGATGGAATAATACTAACTGAGTTTATAGCGAATAGATGTACAAAATGGCCAAGCTATTAAGGGACATGAAATATGCTTTAAACTTTGAACTTTAGTCTTACAATTATTCAATGTTGAAATCTGAATTACTATTACATTCCCAATTTATACTGTTTCTTAAATATAAGTTAGTGGCTATGTAATCAAATCAAATCAAGTAGTCAAGTAATGAGGCCTAGTGAAGAAATTTCATTTTTAAGAAGGGATATGTACCCCCAACCAATTCTATCCCCACCCCTCTCCCCTACGCCCTAATTCCTGGTTCTTTAACAACCCTTGTCTGAACAAAAATTTTGAGTACTTTGTGTTCATTTCTGAGGCTAGAAAATTGTCTGAATAACATGGGCATTTTTCTACTTTTTCTACACACAAGAGGGGGTATATGCTGAACATTGCAACAGCCTTTAACTCAAAGACAATCAATACACAATTACATGCAGAGAGTTTCTGGCCAGCCTTTAATGCAAACCTACACTATTGTACAGGCTGCCAAAATGAATGTGAAATGCCTGCTAGGTTCACTTCAAGCCATTGGTAAAGAAACAATAGCCTCTCCTAAAGAATTTGGCACAAAACCACCCTGAATATTTAAGCATTCAAATGAACAATTATAAATTCCTGCATTGATCAAAGAATTCAATTACCATTCAGAATCTTAATTACTAAGTCCCAGTTTTAACATGTTTAACAAGAGTATGTTTAAATTCAGAAGAATTAAAATTACTTTAAAGTGCATTGGAATTTGTTTTAATCAATATTAATTCATAATTTTGTGACCGACCGTCGGGGAGGGTAGGGGTGTTGATACTGTTATGATTTGATTTGAAATAAACATATTCTGCAAATTAAGGAAAATAAAATAATATTCTAAATTAACATTTTGTATGACCCCTAACCTTTTGGTTAGTGGCTATACATCCCCCTTGCCCACCTAATTTTACTCCTGTAAAATTAAAATATAAATGGGTGGAGACAATGAGAACTATA